GGAATGAAGATCAAGATCAGTAAACCACTGGAGCAAAATGTGACCGGCAAACATGTGGTGCCAACCAATCTCACTCTAGAAATGAATAACTGGATGAAGGGATACAGGATATTTCTCTGGAGAAACAGTGCCAGTGTCTAACCATTTGGTTAGACATGTAGCAAGAGTGTCAATGGCAATTGGATGCGTTGTCATAGAGAGGTGATAGTCTGTCTTTGCCATCCGATGTGTGATGGGTGGGAACAGCAAAAGAGATGCTCAGAATCTTCAGGCAACTGGCAAACACAACAAGTATCCTGTTGTTGGTAATTCCACTGTTTGAGAATAGTGGCAGTGGGGAGGATATGGTTGCAACATTTAGTGACTAAGACGTCCCTGGAGATACGGTGGATGGCAATGCTCAGAGACTTCCAGGAAATATCAGCAAGAACTCGTTGGGGCCACTGGTTCCTATCTCTCAAATATGTGTGATCTTGGGGGATTAAACAAGAATCTATGAGAGCTCTCTTATATTGGCTGGTGACAGTGCAAGACTGGATCTGGAGAACTGCTTGGCAAGAAGGTAGCACTGGTGTGATAAAATTTGGCGCAGTCATCTGGGCTTGAAAATCYCCGGCGTAACCATCAGCCTTGACATTCAGTTGAGCTGTCAGAGGGAGGCAATCAAAGGCAATGGTGTCATTCTGATGGCCTGCACCTTTCACCCAAGAAAAGGAGTATGTGCAGAAAGGAATCTGAAGGGTTTGAAAAATCTGTTCTGGTGCTAGGGTAGCATTACCATAGACCTCTGTATATTCACATCTGGATTGGAGCCAAACGATGAGTGCCTTGCTGTCGCTGACAAAAGTAACCCGTGTAGGGCAAATAAGAGAAGTGTCGGAAGAGGATGATGAGCTTGAGGAACTTGTGTCATCTTTGCTCTTCTCATGGTCACGGTGGTGTAGGTGCAAAACTAGCAGGGTTATAAAGAGACTTCTTGCTAATAATAAGCCTGTAGCCTCAGCTTGAAGAGAACTTTCAATGCCAAAGCATGGGCCATTTGCGTTAGCAATTCTATCCCCAGCTGTAGTGGCTAGAGACCAGCCAAAGGACATACATACATCTCTGCCAGATCCATTGGAAACCATGAGAAGAGGGATCCCAGAAGTGAATATATTCAACGCTGGTGAAAAGTCAGTTTCAAACTGCACTGACCTCAGGAGCTGGTGTTGCCATGGGACTAGGCGGCATAGAAGGCCCGGCCATGTGCAGGGAACTTCATCAAGGGATTTTCTGACAGTTGGAAAAGGGCAGACACTGGTTGGATTGTATTGAAGACCATCAGTTTTGGTCGTCCAAATGATCACAGGGATGTTGTTGCCAGGAGGGAATTCGACAGAGACACGTGGTGCTCTGGCAGTCCTATGTGGGTTAGACTCACAGGATGGGACTCCCAGTTTCCCGGACTTGGCAAAGTCCATATGCCATGATCAGTGGACAAATAGGCATTCCACACACCGTGGTGGAKTCAGAGGACATAGAAGGAGATGGTTCACAGTTTAGATGGATGTGAACCATGCCATTATCATTTCAAAGTGCACTGCCAAGCCATAAGGCAAGTCCCAATGCAGTGATCAAGAAAACGAGTGCAAAGCACACTGCCAAGCCATTTAAGGCAAGCACCCTTGCAGTGAACAAAGACACAGGTGTTGGAGTAGTCACAAAAATAATCAAAAAGARAAAGAAAAGCCAAAAGAAAAAGAAGACAGTTTGTATGATGTCTTGATATTGTTGCAAAACAAAGCCTTGGAGATGGAGGTTAAAATAGTGATGGTTGGTGCAGTGTGCTGCCAGAAGTGGTTGTTGCTGTGATCCAAAACAAGTGTTGGAGACAACAACATCATGACCAGAAGCTTGTTCTGGTCAGTAAATACTGGAACTGCTTGGAGATAAGGCTGGTGAAACTTCTGTAAAACTGAGTATGGTGTACTGCATACTCCAGGCATTGTTCCTCAAGGATAGATCTTGGTTGAATACTGGGGGCTAGGGTTGGTGTTGCTGCTTTCCAATATGAATGTCAGAAACAACAAAAACCATACTAACTGAAATCTTTTTCCAATCCTTGAGAACTGGGGATGGATCCAGCTCAGGCAAAGCACTCAASTGGGGTGAATAGTACTGGGGATGATATTGATTGAGGCAGAATCGGCTGGGGTTGTTGTTGCTGCTGTCCGGCATGAATGCTGGAAACAACAACAACAACAACAACAACAACAACAACAACAACAACAACAACAATGTTGGAACAGAGATTTCTTGGTAGAACTTAAGCTGTAATGGTGAGCAAGGCAAGACACAGAACTAACTTAGTGTTTGGGAAGCTGATGAAATAATGACAAGCCTAGCGTTATAGGTATGAAGGTTATAAGGGAAGTGATGAACAGTTGGAGACTGCTAACTGGTTAGAAGACAGCTGTTCACCATGRTGTTGGCATTGAAGATACAGCTGATGGCAATCAAGAAAGGTGTTGAAGTTGAAGAGATCCAGAAGGATTATATAGATTCTAATGAAGATGGAACTGAGGAGCAAAGAAAGAGTATAAGAGGAGTGAATACCGGWCAGAGGCTGTGATTATTAGAGCTGGGAGGAGAGCTCATATTTCAAAGTAATAGAGAATAAGATAGTGAACACTTTATTTAACTCAATTAACTTACCTGATCTCAACCGTCTCAACAAGCAGTACCTTCCTGTTGGTGTTGTTGTTGATAGAAGTGAATGTTGTCTCTTGACAGTAGTACTAGTAGTAAGAAATTAGTTCTAGATTTCATGTTTAAGGGATAAATTAGGGCTCTTCATCACTAGTGTTTGTGTGATAGCAACACTAGCTACCTTTGAGATTTCTCACCTATGATATGTAATGGTTTGAGAAAAGATATTTCTCTGGTGAAAAGAAAATGAATGATAATTCACTAATAGTAATTATGGCATAGGTACATGTAGCCGTTCATAAAACTTGAATATGACAGTAGAAATCTGGAAATGGTGTCTCCAACAATCTTATAGAGAATGACAAGATTGGAGGTGTTCCTGATCAATGAGTATGTGCGAGTGAACTCATTGTACATGGAAGTGTAGGTAGAGACAATTTCCAGTGTTATTGACAACAATGTCTTCTGTCCCAAATGCTTTCTGTAGGCGTCTTAGTGATTTATGTATCTTTTAATGATGCTTGATAAAATCCTAGAAATCRCTGCAGTCAACATAGATAGGCAACTTCTAGAGTGCTGATGGATAATTGGATCGTTGCTGGCTCCATTTTCGTATTCATATTGGCAATCCGATCGGAGCAAGAGTACCGCAGTATTCCATTCCTTTCTGCTTACGATCTTGCGCTTTGGTAGTTTGAMACTGATCTCTTTCGAKCTTCTGATTCAAAGTTTTTTGTCGCCACCTCATTCTTGGCTTCTTTCACTCCTAGTTCTCGATCTTTGTCAAATAGGATTCGATATTAATTTAATCGAGAAACAATCTCAGTCTGGTTGCCCGTTACGCGCCATAGGAGCGAATCTCTTCAGCTTATTTTGAGTTTCACCAAATACATAAGTTAAGTTTGTACTGTGGCCTGAATTGAAATTCTGTCAGCAAGTAAAGTGGCTTTACTGGTAGTATAGATACATACTGACGGGAGACTCCTCGGTTGAATTGTTCCAGCCAGAGATTGGATTAGAATGGCGAGGTACAAATACCGACGCAGAACCGGACGAAGTATTTGCCGATGGAATCGCCACATCCCTGCGATCGTGAATCATGACAGCAATCGTCGCATGTGTAGATGCCCTGGTAGCAGCAAGAAGAACAGCAGCACCAAAGCGCACTCGGAGCATTCGCTGTCCATTCGTCATCTTCCTCACTACTTTCGCGCTCGATGACTTCGTTTCRGAAATCTTCCCTGTAAAGACTGTAGGAACTGTTTCTTTCACTCATTTCATTTGTTTCCAGCATAATCTCCTCACTATTCGATCAGGCTTTGTTTATTCGTTATGCACCGACGATACCGACTGGTACGGTACATTCATAAATACTGCTAACTTTTCGAAGAATAAAATTCAACGATGTAACGGATCATCACGCGCATGCAGGCATGAAAAATCAACAGAATCTAATAGCCATAACAGGTGTCGGAGTTTGTACTGGTACCCGGTACTTGCAACCAATCATTTTCTGACCCGTACGATAGGGCATATCCCAAAAAATATGAGAGCGTCCGTTCCATAATCTGGGGTCATAAATTAAGGAGGGGTGACCCCTTCCATCGGCCCCCATTCGTCAACATTCGGATGGGCGAGGGAAAGTACCAAGTACAGGTACCAGGTACGAGTACGTACTACCGTAATTGCACAGCACTGAACTGATACTATATCAACAAAATCCAAGAATATGAGAAGGCATAATATTATATTTTTAATTATTTTTTAATATCCCCTAATATTTTGTTGTTTGCACTCCGGCAGTAGTCTAGTTTAKTCCGGTACTGTCCACTTTTATTGGTGTAACGTTCGACAATCACTCCTTATCAACGAACGCGCTTAAGCATTATTAATGTAAGTTGGCATTGTTTCGCGATATAACGAACTGCACAGTACCAATACATAAAAGCTCTCGAAGAGTTTCGATATCAACAGTGTTTCTCCATATCGTCCCTATGTACGTACTGTACTACCAAGGTTTCTGCCATTGCGTGTTTCTACGTTAGATTCTAGATGCAGGTTGTAGAATTACGATAATTCCTACCGCCCGACATAATTTCTTTCAGTACTGTAATAATGGTTCTGTACGTACTGTTTGGTCGTACGATATTCCATTCCGTGTTATTTAAGTAGAAGTAAATTCTAACTCGTTTTACAACATATTACGAGGTGCAGTACGTACGACCAATAATACTGTATGTAGAAATACTCACCTTGGGAATTATCACCATCTACTGTATCTCATAAAGTAAAATTATCTTATTGATCACGGGCTAGGTACCAAGTAGTTGTTCATTAAGACATCCGAAACAAGCGCCATTCGATCTCGTCAGAATAGAAGTTGGATTATGTCATCTTGGGACGAACATCAATGTGAGAACTATGGAGAACTCGACGAATACGATGGTCCTATCGCAAGCGATGGGTTTGGGAGTAGAGTTGAAAACAAAGCACTAGGCACAGGAATCACAAATTCAGTATCCGCGCCACGAGGTGGATCGAGAACCTTGAGTAGCCTGTCTCACTTTTCGGAACTTTCGATGGATTTTGGCGAATTGCAAGAAGATATGGAGACCAAAAGATATGCATCGGGTTCGATGTTTCCCAAGAATAGGAAGAAAAAATCACCCAATACAACGCCGGATCGTCCGTTGCGGACAAAATCTTTTTCTCCTTCGGAGGCTTCTATTGATCTGAACGAGTTAGGAGATGCAATTGGAGCTGGAGAAGATTTGAGTAACAATAGAGTTGTAGCAGGTTCGATGAATAAAAATGGGAGAAAGACTTCATTATCTGATGGCACCCGCTCTTTTTCGTCCTGGCATCAGCCACCAGCCTATTCAAATAATTTGATCGAAGATGACGAGGATGATAGTAGTGGCTGTGGCAATTATCTCAGCTTCGGGGAGGATTGTGGCGACAGCACGGTCCGATTTGATCAGGTACCGCTCGACTTATCAACGGTCATAGAGAATGACGGAAGCGAATGTTCCATATCGATTGAAGGCATGACACGAAATTTATCTTCCCTAAATAATTCGAATGGGAGCACAGGTGGATCAAGTGTTCGGCGAAGAGTTAAGTTTGAGATATCCACCAGACTAGAAAACATTCTAGAATTTGACAAACCCGATGCCGAAGACTTCCATTTGCTTTACTATACTGCGCACGAACTCCAAAAAATGATTGACAACAATAGAGCCAAAGAWAAGCGAGGCCAAGATGATGTTCGATGATATATTGCCACGCCTCCATCTCCACTTTTGACGAGTGGAAATTTTGATAACCCGTACCGTTCCGTTCTCTACCTTTTGTCATGGTAGAATTCAGATAGGTACGTCATTAAAGCGCGATCTGATAGATAATATACAAAGATAAGACCAAAGAGTGGATGAAAAATGTAGAATAGACGAAGGAAGGACAATTATAATTCAGATCTATGATGTAGAGCTAATCAGTAAAGAATGTAAATTCAACTACCTGATTTGAATTCAGCATTTCAAACTACTTTTGCGAGGATTGAAGACAAAATATTCAAGGAACGGCCGAAAGTAATGGTACAAAAACACTTTCAACCTCGGTATTTGATTGCAATCGCAAGAAGAAAAAGCACAAAATATTACCTCTTCAACGGAGCTAAAAATCAGTCATCGTTCCGAGAGAATCCGTTGTGTTTAATTTTTATTCTATGTCATTTCTAGAAAAAAGTCTAACAAGCACAACTGTGATGTTGTCAGATGACCCGAGATGAATGGCCAATTCCGCAAGGCGGGCTGCTGCCTTTTTGGCGGTTACATTTTTCCGATAGAGAAGATCTCGTACAACCCTTATGGCGTCGTCTCCATCCATGACGTCCCACAACCCGTCACATGCAAGCAGCAGAAATTCCATAGATACGCCTTCTTTTCCTAATCGAACCCGATGGAAATCGGGAGTGTTGATGACGAGATCCCCACGAAAYCGACAATCATGGTTCTCTGGGAAAGTCAGCCATAGTGGAGATTCCCACGCCGAGGTGTGGTCAAATGTTGGTCTTCCGAGTTTGTCTATATCATCATTTCGCTGTGTCGATGAGGAATTAAAGCCAGCTTTGAAATCTCTGTCACCAAGGGCTCTACTCACAGCAAGCTCACCACAAACCCTAGAGATGTGTATGATTCGTTGTGGCGCGGCTTTACATTCTTTCGTAGACCTTTCGCTGTCGGTAAAACTTTCGCCGGTGCTAGAAGGGTAGCGCATGCATCGTTTTAAAATTCCAATCACATCTTCATCGTGGAAATCCATTCGTCCAAATTGTCCTATGGGAATCTCCGTTTCTGTTGTAATCCAACCATTAGCTTGTTCGATACGGGCTCTTTCTTGTTCCGCTGATGGCGAGTGAACCGTAGTGACCTCCCTCCAAAAACAGCGCTGGAGAGGTTCGCTCTCGCTACYCTTCTCTACCGAAGACGAGAAAAAGTCATCTGCACCAATTTCTAGCTCTTCCCAGCCGCCATCAGATTCGTAGGACTCATTATTCTCAACAAAACGGCAGAAGAACCCTCGACAATCTCCAAGGCTAGCAATCACCAAATTTTCGTTCGCTAAAAGTGCAACAAGTGCCGTTGCTCCAGATTCCCATTCTCTACCTCCTTGTTGGCAAAGCTTGCAAAACTCATCATCCATTTTTACAATGGCTTCGTGTAAAACAGATTCCATGTTCGAAGGGCTGAACGGGTTTTCGTCAATATTTCTGATTTCATTTTGCAGCTCACTGTGTATGAAACGCCCTAATTGCTCCACTGCGAACCTAGCTCCCTGGTTGCCGCAATGCCCGTCAAAGATACCAAAAAGACCTACGCTATGATCAGTATCATCTTCTTTCCAAGCCGTCTGGGCCTCACTGCCATACGAAGCCGAGTCAAAAGCATTCAATAAGTCATTGGTTAGAATGTATGAATCTTCATTAGACTCTCGCACACCACATTCTGAAATTGCTCCGACCTCCCAACGCAAAGAAGAATTGCTCGCTTTCTTTTCTTTTGAAAAACCGCCCCCAAAACTTCCGTAGGCCTCGGAAATCGTCTTTTCCAATCGAGATGCTTTCTTCGGAATATACGCTGCATCTAAAATAGATCCTTTCAGAAGGAGCGGGTCGGCACAACCTCCAAGTACAAAGCCCGTAGTTGATTGGTTGACAATATCAAGTTTGTCTTGTGTTGGAGGAGAAACTGTCTCAGTTGACGGAATTATCTCTTCCTGCTTTTGGGAATTGTTCTGTCCGTTGTTTAGAGCAGAGCTTGACCCCATAAAACTCCCTTGCGACTGTTGGTTTTGTTGGCGTCGAAGATGGGGTGGTAAGTATTTTGACTTGCTTCGTTGATGTGGAGGAACGTATTTATTAGTATTGCTGCTCTGTTTTGGACGATAAATATCAGGATCTAYTGGCGACGACTTGGTAGGAGGCAGATCTGGATCGCGTGAATTCTTCGAATCTGTAGACATGAACGCTTTGTTCAAAAATGGTCTCTGTGTTGGAGGGGGGATCAAATGCCGACTTGTCGTCGGACTCGAAGGAGATGTTCGGATATTACCTGGCGAGGGATCTGTGATAGCGAAGGGTATAGTCGAATAGTCCATGTCGCCTGCGTCTGGTGTCGAGGACAGAGATGCGCTGCCCGAAGAGCTTCTTTTCAAGTCCATTCGACGTTTGAGGGAGATCCTACCATGGCCGTGGGACAAGACTGTTTGGTTTAGTGACGGACTTGTCGAAATGAGTCGAGTTAGGTGTTTTTCGGACAAACTTTGAGGAAGAGMACCTCGTTCTTCTTTTAGGTCTGACGCCGAGAGAGACGATGACAGCATGTCACTGCTCGGACGACGGTTTTCGAAAAATGTCCCACTGGTGCGAGTTGAAGTTGAACCAACGTTATCGATAAAGTTGCGCATGAACGTTGCTAGTGTTCTATGGAATTGAAAGATCCATTCCTTCATTTCAGTCGGGTTCTGTCCTTTCAAGACAAGGGTGTCGATGGAAGAATCTTCGTCGGAATCTTCGTCATCCATGGCTAGCAGTTCGAACGAATTCAGCCCGTATTGTCGCTCGGCCGTTCGGACCCCCCTGACGCAATCCATTACGACACGCTTCTCCCAATAGATACGGTTATCGATATCGGGATCGATATCGGGAAGAGAAAAGCCACTCGGATCGATGTGATGGAGTAAATTACGACCTGGGCGGACCATAGGTGATTTGCTCAAATCATGGGCTGAACTCCTCCGTCGAGAAGTGGTCGCAGCACTCGGTACACTGATTTTCAATGCAGAGATACCACTAATCAATTGCCCTCTGCTGGTTGTGGTATCGCTGGTCAACGGCCTTTGTTTTTTGTTACTTCTGTTGTTTGCTCTGATATTGCCGTCGTTTCCAATAAGATCGCTATATGAAGTGCTRAAAGTAGAATCGTTCGTCTGGTTAATGTTTGCTCCCAACAAAGTGGAAGTATTTTTCCTTCGTTCTGCTGCAGCCTCTGCGTGATTCCCATCGTGTGCATTTCGATAAAAGTATAATATGCCGTCTTCCAAAACGCAGTATTTCGCCCTCCACAAGTGTCCATCTTCGGGATCGACGAAATCGTGGGGAATACCGTCATTTCCGTTTGTGATGGACACGTCGGAGAGCGGCTGACTTGATTCGGAACATAGCCGATGTAGGGATTCGTGAAACGGGGAGGTCGAAGAGGACGACTTTTCGTTCGTTATCATGGGAATTGGTTGTCTCGCTGACGGTATTTCACCCGGAACATTCCGACTATTGGATGGTCGGAACTTGATCGGGACAGTCGTGGTCTTCGGAAATCCCACTCGGGCTTCGGTATTGTTGTCGGTTCCAGGCATTGTCCCGATGGTTTGTTCTGTTGGTGGAGAAATGGGATCAAAGTCAATTTCTTCGCTGTGATTGTCGTCTCCGTCTTTATGATTGCTGTCTTTCAGATCAATACCGAAAAACGCGGCTCCCATTTCCAATCCTATCTGAATAGGGTTTTTCGCGATGGTTTTCTTTGACTCATCACGTGGGGGAGAAAGAGTACATTGCTGTTGTTGCTGGTGCATCAATGGTTGCAAGGATTGAGCTAATCCCGTGATAGAGTCATTCCTTGCAGGCAAGGAATGCACGTTAAACGCTGAAATTTTGCCGTCTTGATCGTGGTCGAGAGCAATCCGTTCGGAATTCGTGTGATCGACAGATGTATCATTGCCAGAATTTAAAGATATTTCCGGCATCACTGGGAACTCAGGAACGCCAGAAGCCGAATAAACTTCGTGGATTGGGCGGTGCATATGTCCGTAATGGTCGCGTTGTTCCTGCTGCAATGCATCCACAGTCCTCTGCGGTTTGTTGGATCGTTTGTACAAATATCCACAGTACGATATACTGGACATCCCTGGAATTGTTGAGCTGTGTACCCTAGGTTTCGTTTCGTTTCGTTTCATTTCCATTTCCATATCGAGAGTTCACAAATTGAAGAACAATCGAACAAATACAACAAACGTTAAAAAAGTGGAGATAATTTCCGAGCGACAATGGCAGAGGRAGAGACMATCTAACAACTAACACATCACCCCAAAATGATCGAAATCGCAGTTGCGCACGCTTACGATTGCAAAATTAGAAATATTCGATCTAGCGTACCTGTTGAGCTGAGGCGCAGGCTGAATGCCGTCCCGAAAAATAAAGGGCGAGGACCTGGCGCCATCGTATGATTTGGGGATCGCCATGGGTTCCTGTCGTTGTCTGCTCATAATTTTTACATCACTGCTTCTCGTGTTGCTCTCAAAGACACTGTTGCTTCTGAATCTTGTGTTGCTTCTACGACTCTCAGCAATATTCCCACCGGTAGTGTCGGGGTTGACGTTACTACCGACATCACTCGAATCTACACTGTGCGGGTAGGCGCTTAATTTGGCATGAATGCCATCTCTGCTATGGTTTTTCTTGTTATTTTGGTTGTTGCTGTTATTCTTGTTGCTCTTGATGCTCGCGTCACTATTCATGTTGAGTTATTATTATTATTTTGAGTTGTGCAATAATGAGAAACCCTTTCATTTCTTGCTCCAACACTACTTATTGGTACCAGTACTACTAGTCAATCAATCACTCAAAAAGTACGGAAGTGCCGCCAATCGAGACACCCCTTTGAAGAGCTTGATAGTTTAGGGCACCTCCAGTTTCCGGAACCCGACTGATACAGTACAGTATCGTACCGTACTGGATTTAGACAATGCAAAGTAGAAGTACTGCGGATCGAACCTACGGCGAACGGTGCCGTAGAATAAAGAAGAATAAGTGAAGAAGGAACGTTTCAAGAAGCCCAATACAGTACACGAGCGCYGTCGACAAACAATTCTACATTCTACYGGTACGTAGAATTCTTTCAAAAAATTCTTGGTTTGCCTGCCTACTACCAACTCTTACGCTACGGGTACGTACCTACACACAAGTAGTACGTGATGGCAATTATGATGGTGAAGATTATGCTGATGATGCCTCCAATGATGGAAGTGAGAGTGTCAGTAGCCAAGCAGCAGCAGCAGCAGCAACAACAACAAGGACATATCCTTGGAGGGCTCCCAAACCACCTCCAGGTGTTGATATTCCAGAGCAGTAGAAATCTTAACACAGAGGAATGTGTCACGGTGATGATGTTCCTTAATATAGTATACTAGTAGCTTCTTGTATGGCAAAGGATTCTCTGAGGGGTTGCTCTAGGTTCCCTGAATTGACCTTGAAGATGAAGTAGTCCAAGAACATGAGAGAAGCCAAAGATTGTCCTGATCAGATCTTGATGGGATATATGAATCAAAAGCATGTGCAGTGCTTCATTTTTTTATTTTTGGAGAAGTGGTGGTGCTATGATGGACATGGAGCAATTAGCCAATGACTTTTTACAGAAGGGACCACATGTTCAACAACACACATGAGATTTGTGAAGAGGGAGATTGAGCATTGGAAAAGCTCAGTATTCTGGACTCCTAACTTGGAATGTTTGAAAGAATGCTGCATTTCATAAAGAAAAGTCTGGGACGAGATTGGGGACTCTCTCTATTAGGAAGCATRCTGTTTCAGTTTGCAGACATGCTGGCATTCACAAGGATGATGTTAATTATAGAGCCAGATAGAAAGGGAACAGAATGTAGCAAGATCAATATACTGGTATACAACTTCTTTGGTCAGATATTTCTGTTGCAAGCCATCTGTGTTCTTGTGATGGTGTTTGCCTGTAGTACAAGCCTGTGGATGGGTCTGGAATAACAAATGAGTGGCTAATTGAAAATTTTGCTCCTGATGTTACAAGTTCATTAAGCAACAAAGTAGTAGCTGTCATTCTAGGAAAGGTATTGTTCTGCTGGGCTGCATTTRAACCATCTCTGGTAGGTACTATTCCAGATGATATACTACTATGGAGGCATGATGTGATGGCACCTTTTGAACAGCTGCTGGATGCAAGAGTCAGAGCTAATGGTGGTGCTGGTGGTGCAGTTGATGATGGTGCAAATCCTATTCAAAAAGCTGAAATGATTGCAAGTGAAGTAGCTGGGCAAATAAACTATGACAAGCTGTATGGACCAGAGCTAGATGAAGCCACTGCAGCTGCTGGGAATGATCCTTTTGGTGGAAACAATGCAATGGGAATGAGAAAATCTCATCAGTAATGGATGAATGTAATGTATGCAAAGATGCATTATTTGCAACAAGAAGAAAGGATGTTCAATATTGAGAACTTGCTGATAAAAGAATTCTCTTTACAAAAGCAAAGGACCAAGAGGCTTCAATCTTTTTGCAATTGAGCTGCCATGGTTCYAGTTGCAAGGAGAAGAGTGAGGCCACACCTTGTTAATCCAGGAGCAGCTGGTAATTCTGCTGCTCCTGGTGCTTCTGAGGAAGAGCAACAAGAAATTCTCTCAAGAAGTCCTTCAAAYGTGTTTGTTATTTGGAATGAATGGGAATCAGAATTTGCTGTCAACAAAACAACAAAGAGCTCCACTGCACATGTTGGTTCTTGCTTGGGTTGGACATGCTGCTRCTTGGACTGGACATGCTGATTCTTACTTTTTAGACTGGACACATTGTTGCTTGGACTGGATGCTTTCCTTGGACACATTTGTTGCTGAACCAAAAAAAAACATAAAAACAGTGCAWTTTGTATTTTTAACTTTGATTGCTTTTTTTGCTTGCTATCCTCAACAACATCAGGATCAAAGATAATAGCTGACAAGATGAGTATCTRTGTGATGAAGATGGTCTTGATGATTATCAATTGTCAAGAATTACCATCATTGCTTGTGTTCTTTCTATGAAAATTCTATGAAAATTGACTTATCAAAAATTATGTGAGTGTTTCTTCTCAACTGATGTGCATCAGTTCTTGGGTCTCCTAGGATAGGATAGGATATAAACAAAGTTTATGTACATAGAATTGTACATATTTCTTTATGTACTGTTGCATTTTTAGTTGTAATTCATCTTAATACCTGCAGAGTTTTCAATTTACTAGTACTGGGAGATAGGGTACCTGGTAGCAGCACCCATACATTTTGACTTCCTTTGCCTGAAGCAGACCAATTGACTATGATGTACTAGTAGTATTATTCCTAATAAAGTTTTTTCCATACTATGAATAGCATTATAATACTTGTAAGATTAAAATATATTTGAATTGTGAATTATGTCTCTTTKTGGTGGTTATTGGATTCTTTTCCTATGAAAAAAGTCAACAGATGTTCTTCCTATGGGTACACGTATTACATGTTGTACACAGCCTTACATACTGATTTAAAATTCCTCTACAAAGAAGTACAGTATTTTGATTGCACATGGTACTAGTATGATACAGAAAGCAGTTYTTACCAATGTATGTTGCACTGTATGGACATCTCAGTTGTAACTTGTGCCATGTTTGTTCTTTGCTGCATCATACCATACTCTGAGTAAAACAACAATTGAACTTTCTTGAAATACAGGATTTGGAATGTTAAAATAACATTTGGTACTCTGCCTTGTAGGCCTACATGCATAAATTAATATTCAAAATGTTAGCAGGCAAGGGTGTCCTTCTTCCTCCTTTTTAGATCCATTCTTCCTTTTTAAAGGTAGAGTCTGAAATACTGAAGTAATTGTTTTGGGAAGGCAGTGCCCTACAACATTGAAGAATGGGGATACTGGAATCTATGAGGCCTACAATAACATACTAAGAAGATTCCAAATGTTAAATTAGTAGCATTCTCTATGTTAACACTAGTACTAGTAATTGTAACATTTAGAATGTTCATTTTGATGTTCCCAGCAATCCCTTATTTGAAGAAAGTTCATTTGCTATTTTACGTGTAGTTATGGTGGTTTGTTGATTTGTACTGGATTGTTTTCCAAAATCAGCATGATATTTGAASTACAGTCACTTGAGTACCATTAAGTTGTACTGTTATACTATGCTTAAAACAACAAATGAAACTGCATTAATTGAGGCATTGGGAAACTTTATTTAACATTGCAAATGTTAACAACATATGCCTGTGTAGAAAAAAGTACTGTGTTTTTTGCTTGAATTAGATGTTCTGAATGCTCTGCTTAACATTCTGAATTTTTGCAGGGGAGGTGTCCTCTTCTTGCTCATTTGTAAAAAACAAGAGCAAAATTATTTGATTTTGATGCTACTAGGGGGCTACCATTGGGAAGATACAGCACTACCACATTGAAGAACAATGGGATACTAGCAGTACAATCTACATACTAGGGCTACAGTAACAATACTATACTACTAAGATTCCAAATAATGATAAAGTAGCATTCCATCCTAATTATCAATTACTATGATGCATAAAACAACAATTGGAATTAGTACATTAATTGAGGCATTGGGAATGTTAATTCAATATTCCAAATGTTAGTTTTAACATACAGAATGTTAACAATTTAWAATATTGAATGTTAGTATATTGCCACCATAGGCCTCCTACATAGATCCTAGTATTCTTATCCACATTCTTCATTTGGTAGCACGCTAGCTAGTAGTACTACTAGTAGTTCTAGTAGCACAAAGAAAAACAATAATTTTGGCCTTTTTTTCTTCTAAAAAAAGAGGAAGAAGAGGACACCTCCCCTGCTAACATTCAGACTGTTGAGCAGAGCATTCAGGATGTTAAATTGAAGCCAAAACTGCAGTACTCATTTCTACATAGTCTATGCTGCTAACATTTGGAATGTTAAATTCTTAAGGTTCCCAATGCCTCAATGAATGTAATTTCAATTGTTCTTTTATGCCTTGTTGTCGTAAGGAACGTAATTTCAATTGTTGTTTTACAAGTACAAGTTTAATCTGTGTAAAATTACACCAAAAATTAACAATTTTCAACCCCTCMCTACCTTTAACTTTGGCTGACTAGTTATAAGCCACTATAGCATCATCGTTTGGCTTCCCAATGACCTGGATCTCTAAGTAATTGGTGTATCAACTTGGTCTGGGAGCTTAGTCTGGTGGTCTAACAAAGTTGTTTTTTGATAGTAGAGTTCTGGCCTATTTTTGAACCAGCAGGCGGCCTCCAATTGCCAAATTTGGCCATACCAGCTGTTAATGGAGAACCAGCTCCCCCAAGGCCTATACTAATTGTGTAACAATGACACATGCTGGCGCTGTTCCCAACACTATTAGGAAGCTTTTCYCCAAAGAACAGCTGCTCTCAGGCCATACCGCCGGAGCATTTCTAGTAAGTGTCCTATTACTACACTGTTTGCAGTCGAAAAGTGACTTAAAACTAGTAGATCTATGTAGGATCAGTACTAAAATACTGGTCCCAAAATTAACCGTGATGCTACTAGTAATAATTTTTGGTGCTCGAGTAGAATGCCTTCTTGCCCTGTAGGATGTGGTAGGGTTCATACGGTTAATGCATTTTACTCAAATTAAACTCGTACGTACTCGTACAAGTGCGGTAGGGTAGTAGGATACAGTAGGAGGGATCGTCGCCTACCCTTACCTGTAATGTACGTACCGGTACGAGTGCTTACATTACAATCGCTGATCACTGAGCAGTCGCTCTCGTAGCGTACGAGTACCGCAGATTACTTGGATCTGTCATGCCTACAGTACCGTACGGTACGGTRCCAKACCAGTAACATACCGTACCACGACGAGAAGCTGTATTTGGTATTTGCGATGAAAGAACAACAACTGCGATTCCAGTACGGTACTTCTATTACAGAGATTACTTCTAGAGTTCTATCTTATCACAAGAACCATACACTCAGTATTCTGGGCCTCCCCCACGGCACTGAAAGACATACACTGTCAACTTCCGTCCCAATTTAATCTTCCCTGATTTCCCATCAGCGACATACGCCGTTCTGATCGCAACAATTTGTCGAGCGAACTACCTCCGATCTGCTGAGCCAAAATACAACAAATCGCATTTCAATTGGAATTGGTTGGAGCAGAGAATCCATTTTCAGAGTTAATTATTTTATCGAACGAGTGAGGAAGTGAATGATCAAACGAACGCGACCCAAGAACATAACAGGGAACAAAGACATCAGAATTGTTGCATAGACCAAATAAGAGCATGTCTTCCACCCCCAATGGAACAGGAGAAAGCGATGGCAAGCTTGCAACAACAAGCTCGATTCCATCAGCAATTGCACCAAATCCAATTAAGAATTCCCACGTCCCCAGTCTAGCGGGATCTGTGATCGAAGCTTCAGACGGTGGAATCACAGGAGACGGAACCAACAAGCTCTTGATTCGGATACAAAATATTGCGTCGACGGCRAATTTCGGCATCCGCCTAGACCTGAAAAAGATCGCCCTGAAATGCCGCAATACGGAGTTCAATCCCCGGCGGTTCAGTGCCGTTGTTATGAGGTTGCGAGAACCGCGGGCCACAGCACTTATTTTTTCCTCTGGGAAGATCTGTGTCACGGGCGTGAAGTCCACACACAACGCCACGCTAGCCATGAAAAAGTTTCACTACATTATCGAGCGCATAGGCTTTCAGCCGAAAGAGTACGTAGACTTTAAGGTCCAAAATATTGTCGGCACGGCGGACTGCGGCTTTCCTATTCGACTGGAGGGATTGGTCTATGCGCACAGCGCCTTCGCTTCCTACGAGCCGGAATTGTTTCCGGGCCTGATCTATCGATTGGTCAGCCCGCGGGTAGTCTTCTTGATTTTTGTGTCAGGAAAAATAGTTATCACGGGGGCCAAGAAGGAGGTAGACCTTGCCAATGCCCTGACGAAACTCTATCCCGTGCTAGTGGAATTCAAAAAGGTTCACACGGCCACCTTCCCTCCAATTGCACCAACGACGGCACAGGGGAAATCGAGCAGCAGCAGCGGTAACCACGAACAACAGCAGGGCCTTTTGAAACATAGTTCAATAGGGTCGGTGTCGCAGGCAGAAGAAGTATGAGACAGAATAAATTTTGGGGCCAAAGTGTATCGAATGTTCTCTACAATACATGGGTTTTATAGGCATGGTACACCGAATCTCAGAGAGCGACGTTTGGAATAAGAGGCGTTGGCTGTTGCACGGGAAACAGATTCCCAGTTGTGGATTGCACAGTCCACCTACTTGCACGGTTTATTTCCTAATTATTTTTCTAGATTGCCTTAGCCGTACAATACCGCAAGGTACAATACTATTAGCTGTTCGATATGCTTCGCTACAAGCCTGAAAACAAAGGGAAGAAATGCCATGAACGTGCACACGGTCGTGCCATCATTATTTTAGTATAATGTCTGTTTTTCTATTTTACGTCAAATCCTTCTTCGCGCAAGCACATCTTGTGCGCCTCGATCAATTTCATACAATCCGGATCTTCTTCCCCACGAAATACAACACACTCGTCGCGTGCCTTTTTTGTGTCGGGACAGCAGCAACAAATTGGTTTTCCGGTCTTAATACCAAGCTTTTTCTTGGTTTCCTAAAATAGGCAAAAAGATGATAACSAACGGTTCGATCGAAGATGATCACATCAATGCAAGCAATTATTGAGATGCACGTATCTAGATTCGGTTCGGCTTGCAACAGAAACTTGCTACCATCGTGATCGACAAATGGGGAGCAAAATCACTTACTTTCGCTGGTGGCGGTGGGGGTGCCGGTGTGGAACTTGCTTGACCCATGGTGATTTTCGTTACTTTTGCGTTGTAGATGTTTTTTTCCTTGAATCTTGATCCTGCCGTAGCGAACGATAGAGCAAGAAGGTGACTCAATGGTAAAAAGGTAGAACGCATTCGCGTTGACCAAGAGGCGGAATTCCGTCCCGCACCGTAGTGAAGAGCTATGTGGACGAGCCAACAAAACAAGACCACATTTCGAAAAGCTTCTCGTTGTGAGCACTAAAACACCGTAAAACGCAAGCAATCACGAGTAGATAGTGAGTGAGCACAAATAACGCGCAACCACTCACTCTTTGTTGTATACACGTAGTTATACAACACTAAAGAGCATACATAGTAGATTTTGCAGGTTATGAGCAACAAGAAAGAACACACCTCAATCTCATCAACCACCATCATCCAAATGGATAACTCACATCCCACTCGCAGCTAGCGGAAAAGCTGCCATATCGAGTGCGAATCGGCACGGTAGTACCACTGGATAACACTGTGGCACTGTACGTACATAATTGGCTCGCTAACTTGTGTACAGTAGTACTAACTCTGTTCCATAATAACGGTACAGTTCATTGTTACYGGTACGACATGACAAGGCATAATGCATCTTAAAAGTATTAAACAAGATCAACATAATAAAAAAAGAAGCAGTCAAATTGGCCATATATTGAGCTTATTTTGACCAAAGAGGTGCAAACTGCACCAGTATTTAGGAACGGAGGTAGTACTAGTTATTACGGTGCAAAAATTGGTTGACTAATGGGAGTACTGTACTTACTATGGTGCAAAAACTAAGTGAGTGCAAAGGTGGAAATAAACAAAATAACTGTGGATGTTTGTTGTTGTCCGTAGGATATCAGACCGTGGGTACGATTCATACATACGAAACATACATAAGATACGTATCTACAATTAGAAGAGCATCAAAAAGAGGAAATTGGGAGGTGTAATAGAATCAAAAGTGAAAAATAAAATGTGAAAATAACACGGGGAGCATTTTTGAACCATGCGCACAGCACTTTTTTTCTCTTCGAAGCGGTTCTCCAT